CCATGCCCCGATCGATCCCTTCGAGTGACAAGTGTTTGTTTCTGTGGATTCTCCTGGGTCAGGAACCTGCAGTTGCATCTCTGACCCCAGCTGTGCACGGTGCTGTACGGACACAGTGTGCGACCCATGGCTGGTTGTTTTGGATAGGGCTGATCTCACCTCAGGCAGGGGGTTGGACTAGATGTGACCCCCCCTGTCAGTCCCACTTCTCTAGGACTGTGATGCCAGGCCCAGCCCCAAAGAGCCCGTGCTCAGAGAGTTTGTGCCGAGACTGCGTGGTTGAGTGATGAGTGTGTGCGGGGGGGGCCAGGCCTCCTGGGTCTATTCCCCCGGGGGGAAGCGGGGAGGAGGCAGGTCTGCTCCAGTAACATCAAACACCAACAGACCTGGCCTTTGCACTGTGCTGTTGCAAGACCCTGGAGCTTTGCCCTGAGCTGCTCTGCAAAGCTGTCCCCTTGGCACACCACGTGAAGACGTGAAAGGGCTCCCAAGCCCCGTGAGGCCTGTCTCATGGCGCTGTCTCCCCCAGGGCACCGAGGTGTTTGCACTGCTGGGCTCGGTGCTGAAGGACCCCGAGCACTTTGAGAGACCCGAAGCCTTCGACCCCGGGCACTTCCTGGATGACAAGGGGCAATTCAAGAAGAACGAGGCCTTTATGCCCTTCTCCATTGGTACGAGCCCCATGGCCATGCTCAGTACAGATCCAGTGAGGCGATGGTCTGTCTCTCTCTCTCCCTGCCTTCCTCCTCCTCTCTCAGAAGCTCTGGGGGAAAGCAGCAGCTTCTCACCTGCTTAAAGTTGCCACGGCCCCCGTCACCATGTTGATCATGTGCAAACACATTGGCCCTTCTCTGCCTGGCTTCTGTCCAAGTGTCCACAATGTCCCAAGAGCCTGCAGCTTCCCCTGGCTCTCAACCAGGCCAGCCCTTGCCAGCTGGGTTTGTGCAGGCTTGAGAGCCCCCTCCCTGGGTGCCAGGCCCTGAGCTCTCCATCCTCTGCCCGCAGGGAAGCGGTTCTGTTTCGGTGAGATGCTGGCTCACATGGAGCTCTTCCTCTTCGTCACCAGCATCCTGCAGCACTTCCGCTTCGAGTCTCCCATCGACCGCCAGGACCTCGACATCTCCGCAAAGCTGGTGGGCTTTGCCAACCTTCCCCGCGACTACAAGATCTGCCTCATCCCACGCTAGAGGGAGCCTTGGAAAAATGGGACATTGGTGAGGGAAACAAGGCAGGGAAGAAGGTGGTCACATGGAGGAGCCTTACCAGTCTGAGTGTGGGACCCTGGGAATCCGTGACTGTTGCTTGACGTACAGAGCAAACCTGGTTGGCAATTTTTTCCGCTTAAAGCTCTTGTGCCCTTTTGCTTCCTAGCTCCGCTGCCTTTACCCTGAAGAATACAACCCTGGGGACGGCAGTGTCCAGTGTCACTGGCATCTCTCAGTGGCTCCATGAGTAGCAACCAGGAGAGCGGATTAGGACAGTGGCCCATGGAGGCTGGGAGCTGTGCTGTGGGGCTGTGTGGGGGATGGTGAGGCTTCACCATCTTGGTCTGTGCAGCAACTAGGGGATCTCTGTCCTGCTAGTAGGCCTGTGCAAAGAGGCTGGTATTCGCTTCGGATTTGGATTCGGCCGATTTGGGGGACAGTGATTCGATTCGGTGATTCGAATCACTATCCCAATTCGATTTGGCTAAATCTGATTTGGAGATCTGACAGTAGCCGAATCTCTGAATCAGCCAGGCCAGGCCCATCCCCTGCCCCTCTTCCAGCCTGGCAATGGCTGCCCCAGTTCCCGGCACTCACCAGGTGCTGCTGGGTGTGTGGGGGGGTGATCCCTGCTGTCCCCCCACTGCCCCACGCTGCATGGGGGGCTCTGCACGAGTCCCCTGACCC